ATTCAGTTTCATTTTCATGGTTTATAATAATAAAAGTAAAAATGTCTTACCATAGCCATTTCTCTCCCAGTTTGCTCTCATGAAAAGGGCTATGAGCTAGTAGCGCAGTGTAACTGAGAGCACTAGTTCAGAGGCCTGGCCAGGCACTGCCAGACCAGCACTGTGCTCACCTAGAACGGGAGTCCATAAGCTACGTTCATGAGCCATTTGACTTACTCCCTGCTTTTGTTTTATTTTATTAGGTTTTATGAGGGCAGAGCCACCGCGCTCATTCGCGTACTCTCTGGCTGCTTTCCATTACAAATGCAGAGTTGAGTAGTTCCAACAGCAGCAGTGTGTGCCTCGAAGTCTAGAACATTTACAGTCTGGCCCTCTACAAATATGAAGTTTGTGCTAACACCTGATCAAAAATATGGGGCTTCACCAGAAAAAAATTCCTGAAATCTCTTGATTTTAGTGCTCTGACATGGAACTGAGGGAGGTTTCTTTTATCCCAGAAGTGTCAGCGAGATGGCATGGATAGCTTTTTTCGTTATTTTGCATTTTAATATTTTAGACCTTAAAATCTTTAAATCCCTTGTGGTAACTTTGTAATGTTTGAGATTCATATCAAGAGTCCTATTTCAAGTATACGAGTCATGGATATTTCAATGCTACTGAAAAGGCTCTGTTCTGTTGTCTTAAACAGTCAGCAGGCAATAGAAATTGGATGACATTCCCTGGGCAGCCAATTATATTTAGAAACATTAAACTACATGGGTTATTTATCAATGCTAAGATTTTTTAAAGGCATATTAATAAAATTATAGAACTTGCCATTTTTACAAGTTAACAAATGGCTTTATGGGCTTCTGGCTTGGGATTTTTTCCTTGGAATATAACAGAATGCACTCAGCCAACCTATCTATAGAATTAGCAGATAATGCCATTTAAATTGTTGTCTGATTTCAAGGTTTTCTCTTGTAAATCTACTAACATATTATCCGTTGGGAGACATAGCACTGAAAAAAGTGTCTCCACTTTTTCTTTTCAGCCGGACACGCAGTATCGTCATTCACGTGCTGTTGAGTATCCTCATCAGGCCCGACCTGGTAGGGGATATGGAGGGACAGGTGGGGCCATGACTTATTTTACTACTATGTGGCTATGTTAAGACCCTGCCTTTCTTTGTCTTATATATTTTTTCCTATGCTTATTTTCCTTTCCTCCAGGTTTGATTATATTTTGTTTTCCTACATTTTCTAAGTCACCTCAAATTCATTTTGGAAGATGGGGTATAATAAAGAGAAGAGCGCTATAGTTCAGAGCCAAAAAATTCTGGATTTCTGTTTTCTTATATGTAAATCAACCTCTCACCACTCTGGCAAAGTATACAGAACTTTTTAAAATCTAAAAATAATTCAGCCAAATAAATCACTTTCCTAACATTTAAACACTGCTTTATGTAGGCAAAATTCATATTGCTATAGATTAAATGCTTTGGTTAGTTACCCTGCTAGGCAAGGTAAGACAAAAGAAATTCTAAAATGTCAAGATATGCTGCTGAGTCTGAGTCTTTCCCATTTACTTTTTGGTTTCTAAGTTATATTCTATAGCTTCTATTTTTGCATAAGTGGTGGAAGAAAATTTAAGAATGTCTTAATTCTTCCTAGAATGATCTTACCACCACCAGGTCATTCTCATTATGTTGTAGGTGAAACTTAGAAATGGGGTAGTTGATGTTTGCTGTTAATAAGATTAATCAGCTCGTATATTAAAAAATAACCTGCCTCCAACGATCTCTGTAGTCCAAGTGAATTCTCCTGGTTCAGTTTCTAGTGGCAGTGAGGCAGTCTTTGAATACTTCCAGTGGAGTGTTTTATTGGATCAGTCATCAGAGAAGCAACCCTGCCTCTGAGCTAAGTTATTACATTCAGCCATGCTGATGGTCAGATGTAACTAGTGCAACATTTACTTACGTGAAACACATTGTAGTCTTTTTCAGTTAGTGGACTCCTCTCTAAAGGAGTCCACTGCTTTCATATCTTAGTATAGATTTTTGTTTTTCCGTATAATATGCAAGGTTTTTATTGCCTTGGTAAATATATACTTTACTACTTGTTCCAAGTCTCCAAATTTAAATCCCAGCTGATTATTGGAGCAACAAAGCCCTTAGGTATGAATTTGAGTTTACCAAATCTAGACTGTCTACTAATGTTACTCTGTGATGTCCTTTGTCTGACAGGTTCTCAAGCACATGGGTCTACAAAAACTCAAAACAGAAGTGGACCAGTCTCTAGAACCAGGCAGGGACCTTAGAGCAAATGAGGACCTCTTTCAGGCTACAGGGAACACGTGGGAAGACTTCATAAATCAGTGTTCACTCATCGTGTGATGCAGTTTGTTTACAAGAGACAACTTGAAGCTATCTTCATGAAGAGTTACTTTGGTAAAACTGACTGAGAAAACATAGTATCTGCCAAAGATTATATGGGAACTATTTCTATCCCGTTACTGTCTTCTTTCAGCATTAACTATTCCACTAGACAGTAAAGTTCTGTACCCACAAAGAGTAACTACTCCCAAATCACTGCTCATGTTGTCTGTTAACAATGAACAGTTCAATTATTATAGGATTCTCTGAAAGTACACATACACAGAAAACAGCAAATGATTAATAACATTAAGCTGTCACTGGCATTGGAATACTGCTTATATTAATTTCTGGAGTTGTACTCAGTTTTGAATCATTTTCAGGAGACAGGACTGACAAAAATTTGAGCTACTCATCAAACAGATGTCATTCCTAAAGCTTTCTCTTTGCATGTCCAATCCCATAAGCAGAAAGATATGGAAGGGTTAATTAAAAACAAAAATGTTGAACACTAGTGTAAAGTAGCATATGTAATAAATCGTAATGCATATTACTTTTTTCAGATAGGACAGCTCAACCTCACAATGCCTGCTTAATATCAGATTACACTTCTTTCTTAAAGTAATTTAGTGGTCACATTTTTTTTCCAAATATTAAACTCAACTTGCCAGACTTTCTCCTATAGCTCTAAAAGTCAATTAAAAAATTTATAGAATCTTTCTGTTAATGAGCCAGCAAGATACAATTCCCTAAAATTTCAGACACCTGGCGATTATTCCAGTATCAACATATCCTAAGAGCAGAAGTAGAGAATTTCGGCATTCTTCTCATTTTACCACGGACCTTTTCCTGAGTGTACTCATGAACGCAGCAATGGTTTTAACTATGGCTTAAATTTATTTTATTTAAATTTCATTGAACTTTAGTTTTGATGATCATACCGTTTTTTTTTTAATCTTATTGTTAATCTTCAGAGGGATAAATTCAAGTGATCATAAATTGGGGTAATTTTTTTTATATCAAAGTGTTCTAATGCTATTATATGAAGAAAGATGCTTCAAACAATCTGCATTAAATTATATTTTAATACAATTAAAGAGTATTTTTTTAACCTTGTTTATAATCACAAACTGAAAACATGTCATGTGCTTATATCGCTGATAAATCATGATACATAAAGGTACCAGGCTTGTTTCGGGGATATGGCATTGAATATATTAGTCTAAAATCAGAGATTTTAAGTTGAACAGTCCCTTAAAAACTTCCACATATTCTAATGAATACATACAATTTGACTAAATATAAATGAAAATCTCTGTACTATTTTCACAAATCAATACCACAAGCGCATGAAAACAAACCACTGATGGGCTTGCCTTTCAGAGTTAGCATTAAGTCAGGGGAGCCTCTAAGAAGTCGTTTACCCAAACTCCCTCACCCTTTCAAAGATGAGAAAACAAGTTCAGACAAGCTTAGTGACCTACCCAAGGACATTCAGCAGTAATATCCCAGTGATCATTAAAAATTTAAGTCATTTTTTACTTGTTTAGTTTAATCATGTATTAAGTCATAAAGATGCTTGAAGTAATGTGAACATCTGTTTCTCCTATACTTGAAGCAGAGTACAAAAACCTGTTTGAGTAAAAAAACAAAAAAAACAAACAAAACAAAAAGAGAGGATGTACTCAAGAGTTTTAAGACTGAAAGCACTGTCAAGTATTTAGAAGACAATGTCCAGCAAGTGTTCTGAAGACATTCTAGCCAGGTAGCGTACTTGTTCTAATAAACACACACATCGCTCTGAATACTCTGCAGCTCATTCTTGTGGCAAAATGACAGCTGTTAACGGAAGTATGGACAGATCCACATTCTAGGTAAAGTTCCTTGTACAAAAGATCCACAGAAGCAAGTGCTGTCAGAAGTATACCAACCTCCCCCTCTTTCCTCAATGACCATCACCAAATTCCTTCTCAGGAGGACTGGACTTCACAGACTGTCAGGGGATTTCTAGGATATAAGATCAGGTTGAGAGACTGGTTTACATTCTCAATCTGAATAGTTTAGGTGGAAGAGAATTTTTCTCAAGGGTTGAATTGACTTTTGTCTTCAGATCTTGACTTTACCTTTCCTACAATGGCACTAATTAACCCCTAACGACCTTTGAAGAGTAAATTCCATTATTTCTTTTCTTTCTTGAGAGCTGTTTTTTTCCCTCCTCCTTTGGAAGGTTTGCAGTACTTTGCTTCCATCTGAGCCAGAAAATTGTCCATTTCCTTTTGCCGATCCTTTTGTCTGTTCTGTTTGAGAGTTAAAACACAAGCTTTCAAAACACAAGACTATTGAAAGAGAAAGAAGTACTTAGTGGTGGGAAGGAAGAATGGGGAGTGAGTGACTGCTAATGGGTAAAGAGATTCTTTTTAGGGTGATGAAATGTTCTGGAATTGGTGCTGATGGTTGTACAACTGGATGAATATATTAAAAACCATTGAATTATACACTTCAAAAAGGTGAATATGATATACGAATTAGGTCTTAAAAGAAAAAAAAACACAGTACACATATACTCCAAAATAGCTGTAGGAATCAGAACAAGAACATAAAGAAATGGCAATGGCAGCAAACCTTCACAGACAGCTGCCGAGTTTACCTGAATGAGTGCTTTCAAATTATCTTCGTCATCAAGTCCTAACTCCTTCCTGCTCATTTCTGCTTCTTTAGCCTCTTCCTGGGCCTAAAACAGATGTTCACATGTGACTCCATGGCATCCTAAAAATATACCCTTTGCCAAAAGCAAATTTATAAGACCCTTTCAATTTGAGGATTATTTAGAATAAAATTACATTAATACAGCATTCATTAAAAGGCAAAATTGCTGACAGCAAGCGGTATATCCTGATTCCAGTAAGCATTTCTGAGTTTTCCCCATTTCAATTTGTTAGGGGTAGCAAGTAGTTTGGTATTAACACATTAAGCGCCCATCCTGTTTTGTCTTCCGGACAGAAAGTATAGTGTCAGTCACCAGTGACTGGGCGCTTAACATGTTAATAACCATGTGATGATAGGAAGGAAAACAAAATGCATGGAGAGCTTAACCAAGGATGTCCTCAAAAATACTGCCGGGATAAAGGCACCTCAGATTCTTCCTCTGGAAACCCAATTTACTACATGTGACTGGTGGCAGCTTTGAAAGCAACCCTAGTTTAAAATTTCCCAAGTAGTCAGAATAAACACTAACAAATTCAGTTTTAACTTTTCTTTACCTGATTTCAAAGCCACTTTTTTTTGGCCAAAATTTACTAGGGCACTGATTCCAAAATACCACTAGAATACCTTGGTAAAGGTTAATAAGTTGTTTTTTCCTTCAGGGCAACAGCTAAAATTATTAAGAGGTCCCAACCCCAGTGAATTTTCTAAATAGTAATAAATACTATTAATAGTGGGAATGATGATATATTAGGACCTTGTTATTCCAATAAAGAGACACAGTTTCCTTTCTACTTTCTACTTTACTATCTACTTTCAGTCTTTATCCAATTTCTTTTGATATTGTATCCCCCTTCCCAAGTTCGTTTGCTGGAATCACTCTCAAAACTGCCAACCCCTCCTCACAATACTCTAGAGAAGTTTCTCAAGCTAATATCCTACTACTAGATACTGCTCTGCTAAGTTTCACCTGAGAAAATAATCACCAACTTGAACTGCTTGAGTCTAAATAAAGGTACCCTGTGAGTCAAAACGATAGCTCTTATACACATTCCACTTCTCAACATACTTCAGCTTTCTTCTGTGTCATCTTGTATCTAAATGCTGCAGACCTAAGTTCACCCCCAATTCAGCCATACAAACTAAGGGCAGTATCTGCCTCTTACACTGTACACTCTCCATGGAATTCCCATTACGAAAGCCAGGTCGAAGCAATGGTTACTTAGGTACCAGTCTGGTTTTTCCCCAGACCAGAGGGACAGATGTTTTCAACTTTGAATCTACTCCCTCCCAGAACCCCCGCTGTCCTTGAGTTCCTTTCCCCTACCACCATCCCTACCTCCACCGGCCCTAGTTTCATATGGGTGTAAAGGACATACAGGTCTCAATCCCTGATTCTCCAAAAAGTGTTCCTCAAAGTAAATTTGGAATTTAAAAAGTAAACGCAATAGTTTTTTAACATGTATATTCAGGACCCAAATCACAAATCAACCTGGGCAAGAACAAAGGAATCTGTATTAAGCAGACACAGTATTTTCTTTTTAAGAGTCTTGGTTGTCCTCTCCCTCACCCCTTAACTGAGAACCATTGTGTAAGCCTAGGTATCTGAACCCCACTAATGAGAAAAGCCTCAGCAAAGGTACAAGAATCGGCCCATATGACAAATATTTCAAGATGATATTATTTAAATAATCAGTAGTAAAATCCTCTGAAGCACAACATACCAGGGAAAACAAGTTTCTCCCGGTGAACTGATATGCTCATTTTATTAGATGAGAACTACATAGCGAGTTAGTCCTTATCCTTATTTCACAGTTCTGTCTATATTTCAATTACTGTCAACATCCTCAAATTCTTTTTGGAAGCAGTCAATATGTAAATAATAAATAGCATTCAAAGTCTTACCCTCCTTTTCCTAGCATTCATCTTTTGCTTCGATTCTTTGACAAAGGCCTTATAGGATGGAACTTCTCCAGCGTCAATGGCTTGCTGAATAAGGTTCCTTATCCTGGGTTCGTCCGTGTACTGCACGCACAGCACCGACTCCATGATCTGACCCATGTCCCCTTTGAAGTCCAGGTAGGCCTGTTTAATATCAGCCAGCTCTTCTTCAGAACCTTTGTATGTCTTTTCAAAAGCTTGAATGTCTTCTAGAGATATCTAAACAAATAAGAAGCATATGCTTTAGCTTTATTTTAAAAGGTATTCTAGGAAAGCTAAATTTAGGTGTTGAAAGTTTCTCCCAAAATACAACAGTTGCTTGAGCTGAAACTGGATGTAAAGGACATACAGGTCTCAATCCCTGATTCTCCAAAAAGTGTTCCAAAAATTTTCTCAGCCGAAGCTTTTCCATAGTTCTCCCTACTCCGACCTTCACAACTACTAAATTATGGACCAGGAAATTTTAAGTGAAGTTTCCAGGGGTGGGAAGGGATCCAGAGAAACACTCAGGACTGACATTTGGATACGTAAAATAAGGCACTTCTTGTCAAAACGTAAGCACCCCCTTTCTACTACAAGCAAGCACTCTACATCAACAGGCAACCAAGGCCCATCTCAGTAAGAGGGCATGTGTATAGAGAAAACACCCGGGGTTCACCAGCGGTTAAATACATTTGTTCTGCATCAAAGACGCACGGCACAGTGTGCATCTCCTGGGGAATGGGCGCGCGCGTGTGTGTGTATTTCAAGGGAATGCATGCTTGTGTGTGTGTGTGTGTGTGTGTGTATTTCAAGGCCAAATTCCCCCTCCTTCACACACAATTCAATGCCTCAGAGGCATTCAATAAACATTTGTCGAGTAAATAATAGGAATGAATCGTCGCGAAACAGTCTCCAGAGTCTTTTTCTACCTTTTTAAAGAGTAACCTCCAATACGTCTCCCAGTCCCGATCCTGGCTGAGCACATCCGAGTCCTCGTCCACGGTCCCCTGCTCATCGTACACGGCCCTCTGCTCCTGGTCACTCAGGACGGAGTAGACTTTCCCGAGGATCTGCGGGGAAAGAGCATTCAAGTCACCCTCGCCCCTTCACTGCTGCCGGCGAGAAACAGCAGAAAACACCAGGCCGGGCTCCGGGCATTTCCCGGGAGGGGCCGGCCGGCCATTAGACCGCGGCACAGACGCCCGGGGCCGCTGGGGCAGGGTCTCGCGCACCTGGAAGCGGCGGGTGGCACCCTCCTTGTCGTCCTCGCCCACCCGGTCCGGGTGCACCTGCAGGGACACCTTGTGGTAGCCGCGTCGGACCTCGCCGTCCGAGGCCTCGCGCCGCACCCCCAGCACCCGGTAAAGGTCGGCGGTACCGAACACCTGCTCGCACTGCTCCAGCAGCCCCATGGCCGGCAGAGGCGCGGGGCCAGCGGCGGACTCCGCGAAAACAGTGGGTCCCAGCAGCCCCGGCTAGTTCCGAACTGCTGCCTTTTCCCGCGCAAAAAGCCCAGCGCGCCTGCGTCACAAGAGCCGCGAGAAAGGGCGTGGTCACGACACCGCACTTTACGGCTGCTGTAAAATGGGGCGTGGAAAGCCCAGCGTCAACGTGCCAAGGGGCGTAGTAGAGCAGGCGTAAGCGGAAGTAGCGCCCGAGACGCCACGCCCTCTCCTCTGCGACTCCACTCCCCGTACTCTAGACACCTGGCACTTATCTTCATCGCCGAATCTTTTCCTTTCCTTTTTTCTTTTTTAAATATATTTTATTGGGTTTTCTTTCCAGACAGGAAGGGAGAGGGATAGAGAGTTAGAAACATCGAGAGAGAAACATCGATCAGCCGCCTCCTGCACACCTCCTACTGGGGATGTGCCCGCAACCAAGGTGCATGCCCCTGACCAGAATCCAACCTGGGACCCTTCAGTCCGCAGGCCGACGCTCTATCCTCTGAGCCAAACCGGTCGGGGCGAGGAATCTTTTTCAATACGTGAAAGTCCGTATTAGGTTGAACCTATACGCTGTTTGTTTTTTAGCAAAATAACAGCACAGCATAGGCATTTGGCAATTTCACATGGTTCATATACATGTATTTTTTCAAAGAACACTAATTTTTTCAAAGACGGTACTGATAGTACATAGAGCTCTAAGGCGCAAATAATTGTGTAGCCTACAGGGTAGGTACTTCCCTAGAGGCCTGCAAGAAAAAGTCTACATGAAACAAAAGACACAAAAGACCTCTTTAAAAAATTCTTCATCTGACAGCACTTACAGAATCATTCCCACTCACCCTCCAGCTCCTGAATCACCTTCCACTTTGGTGGAGGTAACATGACCCAAACCCTCATAATAAAAATACAAGCTGCTGAAGCAAAGGTGGGTTTTTTTGTTTTTTAATGCTTTCTAAAGTGCAGAGAAGAGCCCTGGCCGGTTTGGCTCAGTGGATAGAGCGTCGGCCTGGGGACTGAAGGGTCCCAGGTTCGATTCCGGTCAAGGACACGTACCTTGGTTGCGGGCACATCCCCAGTGGGGAATGTGCAGGAGGCAGCTGATCGATGTCATCGATGTTTCTAACTCTTTATCCCTCTCCCTTTCTGTAAAAAGTCAACAGAATATATTTAAAAAAATAAATAAAGTGCACAGATGAATTTTGAGTATTTTAGATTTGAAGGTGGTATCAAGATAGGCTGAGGCAATCATCCAGACATGGTGATAAATAGGGGCCTGGAGATCCAAAGCAAGGCTAGGGCTAGAGAAAACTGGAAATCAGGGAGCAGATACGCTCCCACAGGAAATATGGGTATAGATCTTAGACAAAGGACAGACAAGGGCACAAAGTAGACACATGAGGTGACAAACTCAGTAGCTACTAGTAAAAATAAATACCTTAACCCATTTCACAGTAGTTCCCCCCACTGATCAATACTTTTCAAAATCACATTCTCTCCTGCACTATCAATTAAAGCTTCTCCCACCAAACTCTCCAGGGTATCTTTTAAACTTCCAGAGTTCCTATCATTTTCAAATCATTTCTTTCCCATGTCCAAGATCAAACCCAGGGACAGTCAATTCCTTTCTGTTTGCCCTGCCTTCCACATATCCTCCTCAAAGCAAGTGGAGGCCAACCAGTAACAATCCTGGGGAGACACGACCCCACAATTTGAGGTGGCTGTTAGTTGTTCTCAGAATATAAAATCCAGAGGATAATATTAGTTGGTATATTCTTAGGGCTTAAGAATCTCCTCTATAAGTCTCCTACATCCTAGCCTTGTGCCAGAATTTGAAATCTTCATTATCTAGCATGTGCACTAAAACCATCTAATCCATGCTTGTGGATGGAGAATCCCGAGGTTAATTAGGGTGGAGCAGATAAAGTAATATTTTGTGGGGTTTTTTTTGGCACATGATCCCTAAGCCTGATTCTATCACTGATGTTTTAAGTAGACATTTGAAAAGTCCCTCATCCTTGCTTATTCCCCCACCCCATCCCACTACAAACAATATGTACTGGAAAGGGCTCCCCAGGTAGGCAGACTGCAGTCTAAATCTTAGCTCTGCCAAGATTAAACTGGGGCCATGGCCACGTTGGTTGGGGACTCTGAAACGGAAGTTTTGGAAGGCAGCAGACTGTAAAGCTGCCCAACCCACTCCACAGCCACTGTGTTTCCCCCAGCGAAGGCTGAGAAAGTGAATTAGTAGCCCCGTGTCACACAAGAACAAACCTCTCCCTGGACCCCATTCAGGCCAGGCCAGAACATGGATGACATGGAAAACACCATTTATTGACCTCTAAATCTAGTAAGAGAACTCTGCACAAGTGTCTGAAGAGGACTTTGACTTTGTTCTTGCTGCTGTGCTCACTGACGTCAGCTTGCTTCTGTTTCCGTAGCCTCTGCCTCTGTTTTCTGAGATGCTAAGAGGATTTCACGCGCCCGTTTCCGCCGAAGCCTCTCAGCATTTGTGATTATCATAGGATGCAGAGGGAAAAACCCAGCAAGGCCTAAAAACAACAGGGTTTGCATTCATTACCACACAGGACAAGCCAATGTTTCCCTGGCAATGCAGCCTCACAGGATCTCGGTCTAACAGCGACCTGACCTAGAGCATGGATTTCAAACATGCTCCTCACTTCTTCCACCTGCTCCTGACTGCAAGGAGACAATCGGTGTTATCTCCTTCCTAACACGATTTTCCTTACCTGAGAAAGATGAGCTGACAGCCCTTCAAGACACACAGTTCCCACTTTTAGAATAAAATCTCAGCCTCATAAAGGAGTCCCACGGAAGTCACCAGATTCAAAATGGCAATGCGATCACAAGCCCCTTCACCTCTCACTCAAGCCCCGAGCAGCCCAAGGGTAACGGGAATCATTCTGAGTTCTCATCCCCCTGTAATCGACTTCAATGGAAAATCTCTGCAGCGTGGGCAAACTACGGCCCACGGGCCGGATCCTGCCCGTTTGAAATGAATAAAACTAAAAAAAAAAAAGACCGTACCCTTTTATGTAATGATGTTTACTTTGAATTTATATTAGTTCACACAAACACTCCGGTCCAGTTTAAGTACCCATTGTGGCCCTCGAGTCCAAAAGTTTGCCCACCCCTGGCAGAGCCACGTTACCCAGAAGCTTTTCCACGGGCTGGGAGAGGTGGGCGCCGCAGCCGAGCCAATGCCGGATCCGCTCCAGGTTGAGCGCCACCAGCTTCTCTCCGTGGGTGTTGGGCAGCGGGTCGTAGGAGCCCAGCTGCTCCACGAAGCGGCCATCCCTGGGGAACTTGTTGTGAGCGGCCACGATGCGGTAGAAAGGCCGGTTGGTACAGCCGCCCAGGGCGAGACGGATGGTCAGGCGGCCTCCACGGTAGGCCTTGCGGAGGACAGCAGCTGTGGAGAAGCAAGTGGTCAGGGCACAAGATGGGCAAAACCAGGTGCAGGAGACAATCCTCTTCCTCCAGTGAAAGCCCTTCCTTCTACTCAACTCGGGGCCGCCTGGCTTAGAAAACAGCTTCTTTGTGAAACCTTCCCATGCACTCCGGCCAGAGACAACGTCCTCCCCCACCCCGCCCAGCGCGGGCCTGCCTGCCACCCACTGGCTCCGCAGCTGCCTCATCTCTATACAGTGGGGCCTTGACTTACGAGTTTAATTCGTTCCGAGACCGAGCTCGTTAAGGAGCTCGTTAACTCAAATTACTCTATCAACTCGATGCAAAAAATCCGCCGAGACACAGCTGGTATCTCAAAAAACTCGTTAGTCGGGACACTCGTACGTCAAGGCCCCACTGTATAAGATGCTACTCTGTCACACGGTGTCAGGGGGATTCAAGGAGAAAATCGGGCTGGGGGCGGGGGCGTGGGGGGGCGAACCCAACGTAAGGCCCGGAGGCTACTCCCGGCTCGGACGGCCTCCAGCTCCCCTAGGACGGCCCGCCGCACCGGGTCCTGCCCGCCCCGCGGCGCCCGCGCCCGCCAGCAGGCCTCCCGGGGCCGCCACTCACTGAGCTGGACCATGGTGCGGCCCGACCGTCCCGCCGCCCGCAAGGACCCCGTTACCGCCTCTGGCGGGGCGGAGGACGGACGGGCAGGGCCCAGGCTGCGAAACCGCGGGCTCCCGGCGCCCCGAGCGAAGCCCGTGCGTCTCGGCGGCGGAAGTGAACGGTCCACTCGCCCAGCCCTTTCCGCCCCCACAGTTCCCGTGATGCAACACGGTGGACTCCGCGTCCTCACTCCACCGGCGGCGGGGATGGCCGTGCTGCGCGAGTCATCGGGGGGCGAGGAGGCTCGGAGGAGCCGGGAGCGGCCGGGGCAGGCGCCGCCGGGCCCGCCAGTCCCTCCTGCAGCCGGCGTTCCGGGGGCACCTGCTCGCGCCCAGGGGTAGCCCGGAAACGCGGAGATGAAAGGGCGCTGCAGTCCCAGCCTGGTGGGGCACGGTGGGTGACAACGGACTAGAAAAGGACTCTACATGAGCGCACAGTTTACCCTTCTGTGTTTACTGTATGCCTCTCACCTTCCCTCCTATTCTCTGAACCTTCTCCAAAAAATAAAGGAGGGGGGCCTTTTTCCTGGTTTTGCTGTGCAGTGAGTGGTCCAGAACAGGGGTGCAGTGTGCTTCCTTGGTCATCTTTAGCCCGAGAACAATTACCTCCTTTGCGAGGTTTGCATCTGTGAGAAGGTGGTTAGAGGGAGTGAGTACCTCCGCCTTCAGCAAAGACCTCCCTATTCAGAGTCTCTGTTCACCGTTGGATCCAAAGGTCCTGCCCACAACTAATCTTGCCCTAATACAGCGGCCCGAATAGCTTTCTCCCTTTAGTTCCACCTTAGAAACGGGTGCCTTCATTCCCAAGTTCCATTAGGTACACCTGGCCAGGGACCTTAGCAGCTGACTTCCTACAAGAGTTATCCTGATTAGCTTTCATCAGAAACCCTCATAATGAACCCATTATGCCTTAATTACATATAATTATATTCTTATATATACTCCAGTATGCCTTAAATCCAGAATCACACTGATGAATTTTGAATCTCTTATTTTCATTTTTTATTGTCATCCAGTTGACAGTCAACA